CCTGATGCCACGTTCTTCTTCATATGGTCCAGCTTCTTGGATTATTTGTTCAGCATACAGATTGAATAAGTATGGTGAAAGGATACAACCCTGACATACTCCCTTCCTGATTTCAAACCATGCAATATCCCCTTGTTCTGTTCCAATGACAGCCTCCTGATCTATATACAGGTTCCAGATGAGCACAATCAAGTGTTCTGGAATTCCCATTCTTAATGTTATCCACAATTTCTTATGATCCACACAATCGAATACTTTGGCACAGTCAATAAAACACAAGGAAACATCTGGTATTCTTTGCTTTCACCCAAGATCCATCTGACTTCAGCAATGATATCCCTCGTTCCATGTCCTCTTCTGAATTCACCTTGTATTTTTGGAAGTTCTCTGTCGATATATTCCTGCAACCATTTTTTAATATCTTCATGAAGATTTTACTTGTGGATGGTGTTAATGATATTGTTCAATAATTTCCACATTCTGTGGGATCACCTTTGGAATGAGTACAAATATGGATCTTTTCCAGTCAGTTGGCCAGGTAGCTGTCTTCCAAATTTCTTGGCATAGACAAGTGAGTGCCTCCAGCGCACCATCCATTTGCTGAAACATCTCAATGGGTATTCCATCAATTTCTGCAGCCTTGTTCTTTGCCAATTCCTTCAGTGCAACTTTGACTTCTTCCGTCAATATTATTCGTTCTTGATCATATGTCACCTCCAGAAAAGGATGAACGGCGACCAATTCTTTTTGGTATAGTGACTCTGTGTATTCCTTCCATCTTCTTTTGATGTTTCCTGCAACATTCAATATGTTGCCCATAGAATCTTCCAATATTGCAACTCAAAGCTTGAATTTTTTCTTCAGTTCTTTCCATTTGAGAAATGCTGAGTGTGTTCGTCCCTTTTGGTTTTCTAACTCCAGGTCTTTGCACATTTCTTTATAGTAATTAGCTTTGTCTTCTTGAACTGCTCTTTGAAATCTCCTCTTCAGCTCTTTTATCTTGTCACTTCTTCCATTTGCTTTAGCTACTCTCTCTTCAAGGGGAAGTTTCAGAGATTCTTCTGACATCCCTTTTGGTCTTTGCTTCCTTTCCTACCTTTTTCATGACCTTTTTCTTTCTTCATGGATGATGTTCTTGGAGTACACAGGAATCAGATCAACTACATCTGTGGAAAACGCCTATGGAGAAGTTCAATATATTCAGCCAAAACAAGGCCAGGAACTGACTGTGGAACAGACCATCAATTGTGCATATACAAGTTCAAGTAGAAGCTGAAAACAATTAAAACAAGTCCATGAGAGCCAAAATATGACCTTAATTATATCCCTCCTGAATTTGCAACCATTGCTGTGGAGTCGGATCCGACCCATAGCGGCCCCTTCTTGGGTTTCTGAGGCATTATCACTATGGAAGTAGATTGCCCAACCTTCCTTCTGAGGAGTGGCTGGTGGGTTTGAACCGCCAGCCTTCTGGTTAGCAGTCAAGTGCCTT